TCCTTGCGGTCCGTCGGTCGGGCGCTTGCCCGGGTGCCGGGTGCCTCCTGTCCCGAACACCAGGCCAGCTCTTCCCCGTGCTGCCTATCACTAAACCTGAACGGGGTCGGAGGCTTAGGATCTTCGCAGCCATGCCTGGGCTCCCACAAAGGGCGGTCTCGCCAAATGCTTCCCCCCTTACCCCCTCCGCGCCCGGGTCTCCGCGGAGCTGGCAGGGTTTGCGCTGCAACTGAGGGTGGTGGCGCCCCTGACCCCTCCACGCCAACGCCACAGTGAAGTGGGGAAAACAAAGTTATAATAGTAGGAAGTGCGGAAGACGCTGTAACAACTTTTTTTTCTTTCTCGCGTAGATTCAGCCACAATATGGCAACTCTTTTTATAAGGAAAATGGTGGTTTCTGCTGTGAACCCTCTCCTACATCTGAGTCGTTACACAATGACAAATTACACAACGACACCCCGCGCGCTCTCCACGCTCCTGCTGGGTCCCCTGCGTGTTGCAGGCCCTGCAGGTGCGGAGCCCAGCGCAGCAGTGGCCTCTCCTCTCTCCTGCCAGCCCCTGCCCTTCCTGCAGCCGACTCTGGGATTCAAGACCAAGGCCGTCCTCAAGAAGCGTTGCCGGGACTGTTACCGGGTGAAGAGGCGTGGGCGATGGTACATCTACTGCAAAACGCACCCAAGGCATAAGCAGAGACAGATGTAAAAAGAATATGCAGGATTGTGCCATTTCCTTGGGTGACCTTATCGAAGAAAAATAAAATGTAAACGTTCTGTTTTCTGAGATGGTTGACCTGCCGGTTTTGTTGACTACTTTCCAGGCATCTCACTCTTTATCCACATCTAGTCCAGTCAGAGCCCCAGCTGGGATGCGAATCCTTTTATCTTCCTTGCAAGCTAGTAGGAAGACAGAAGACCGAGCCCAGGAAAGGCCAGTTTATCGCCCAACATCAGAATGCAAGTTCTTTAGAAAGAACTAGATTCAGTCTCAGATTGGCCCTGTGTCTGCAGTCCGCCATACTGCTGCAATCCCGTCTTCAGGATGAGGAGGAAAGGCCTTGATAAGAGTCCTTAAGTGAAGGGTAATTAATTGTTTATATATATGAAGGGATTTTGGTCTGAGATGTATGTGCATGTGTAATGTGTGCATGTATGTACGTACTACATACCCACTGTGTGCGAGCAAGAGGCCTCTCCTGTAGTGTGAAGACGGGAGCGATCGGAGGTGGTTACAGCAGCATGGCAGGTGGGTGCTGTGCCTACTGCTGACCCCGGAGCAGAAAGCAGGCAGCCGCACGTCCTGGTCAGGGCCTTGGCTCTGCTTGTTACTCGGAGTTGGGCCTTGGACAAGAAGCTTCTATTGAAGCCTCCCTGCAGGGTTCTGAGGACCTATTTCTCAGTCACACTCTTGCTCTTACTCTGCCACAGGGCCTGGTATGCAGTAGGCACTCTGCAAGGGAATGTAAACTGAAATGATTATACCTTGTAAGCAGGCAGCCTCTTACCCTCTCTAGCTATTCTGAACCAGCTCATCCTGCAAGACCAAGCCCACAACTTTGTTCTGAAGAGGTGGTTGTCATCCCATCCAACAGACCCAAATGCCTCTGGCACTAGAGCATGGATCGTGAAGTTGGATGCTGGCCTTGTCTAGGTCTTTACATACACACACACACACACACACACGTGTACACATAGGTACACCACACGCCTTTTTGATTATTTTCTCCTTGACAGGTGAATGAGGTATACTTGCCTTGTGAGCATCCAGCTCTGCAGGACACACAGTGCTGGTATATATGTCCACATAAATGAATATATTGGGGGACAGGCAGTCTGGGTGTAGTGAAGCAATGCGGCCTATATCCACACGAACCTGTGATTATGGCTAGCAACCTGGAGTTCTCACAGCATTGATAAATTTCTAAATCGCTCTCTCCTGGGATTATGAATCTCTGTTTGATCTAAGATCATAGCATGTGTGCCAACCAAGCCTTCTTACAACTTATCTATTTCCCAATAATGGATGGACCAGCATTTATAACCCCACAATTCCAGCTCAATAAAAAAAATTGTTTAGGTCAGGAGGCAGCAAATTACATTCTGTAGGCCAAATCCAGTCTTCACCCATATTTTTAAATAAAGTCTTTGGAAAACGACCATCTCATTTATTAATGTACTAGAGGCTCGGGGCATAGATTCATGCACCAGTGGGGTCCCTCAGCCTCGCCTGTGGGGATTGGGCCAAAATTAGCTCTCTGACATCCCCCGAGGGGTCCTAGATTGCAAGAGGGCACAGGCCAGTCCGAGGGACCTCACCGGTGCATGGGGGACTGCAGGAGGGCTCCAGGTATGTCCAGTTCATCTTGCCCAGTCCCTGATTGGTCCATCAGCTGGACCCCAGCAGCAAGCTAACTTACCGGTTGGAGCATCTGCCCACTAGTGGTCAGTGCATGTCATAGCTACTGGTTGAAGGGCCAAATAGTCACTTAGGCTTTTATATGTATAGATTGTGCCTCCACAGCAGCCAGGTGGTAGGTGAGTGGTTGCAACAAGACCCAATGGCATGAGAAATTTAAAATACTTACTAGTTGGTACAAACTTAAGATGGAAAGCAAGGAAGAAATTAACTCATTTTATCAATTGTATTTCAAGTGGACTTCTTTACTAGAGACCAAGATCATTTAGGAAAGAAAAAAAAGTGGTGTATTATTGTCCTGTGACTGCTGCAACAAATTATCAGACCTGTGGCTTAAAGCAACAGAAAGGTATTCTCTCCCCAACCCAGGGCCATCTCATCTCAAGATCCTTAATAACATCAGCAAAGGCCCTACTTCCAAATAAGGTCATATTATGAGATGTAAATTTGGGGGAGGGGGTACTATTCAACCCACTACAAGTGGTACAGAATATTTTTGAAAATAATATCAATTTAAATTTTTGTTAATAATGTATTCATTTTGTTGAAAATGCAGTGGAAGTCTTCCTCCTGAACCCCAGATCCAATTTCTCTCCCGAGAAGCAGACAGGATCATCAGCTCCCAAAATACCCATTCAGTCATGTCCTGTGACTCCATTCCTGTCCCCATTTGTACAACTAGCCTAAACCTGGAACACATCTGGGCGATGTCTCATGCCAGCAACCACAGGGCATCTTCTTTTCCCAGGCCACTCTGCCCTGACTTCTTCAACAAGCTGGTATTCGATATTGTGGGCATCACTTCTTACTTGAGGCATTTTTCTGCATCTATATAAATTTTTTATTTTTCCTTTTTGGATTTATAAAGCATTTTGTTCTATTTTGTAATTAGTGGTTGAAATTCCCAATTAGAGGCTAGTTGTTTTTTGTCTTCAAGTTCCTACTTGTCAGTTTTGTGTTTGAAAAGCATGGAAAAAAATGAGTAATTTACAGAACAAAGAGAGCTGTTTTGCATTGCATGAGAAATTGACTTTGGCTGTGTGGATATGCAGAACAAAGCTGTCAGGAAGCTAGTCCTTGCGAGCCTCAGGGGCCTAGCCAAGCAGCTCCCACGTGTGGGGTACAGACAGATTTCCTCCTCTGACCACACCATGAAAGATTCATTGTCTTTTCCTCAGAAAGTGATGCGTGTTTTTTCCTTACATAGTGATGCCATTATACGAAACAACATGAATTGCTGTGCAGAAATTCTAGCACTTCATCCTCAGAGTGAGGCTTTCTCCTCAGATTTCTGTTTAAAGGTATAATTGTTCTTTTGGTGCTAATAACATGTAATCATCTATTCTAAAGTGAAGCCAGTTTTTCACTTACAACTTCTATCAGTTTAATCATCTAACACATTGTTGGGTCTAGGGTAAAGGAGTCTTCTCTGGCAAGTCTGTCATACTCTGATTCTTCATTTATTTATCCATTCACTGCAATAGTTATTAAACTTAATTTTGTATCATGTTCTGTGCAAAATACATGCTATATATGTGGATTCATGCATGAAGATAGCCCTGCCTGATCACCTGATGACATGCCTCATATTGTGTCTAATGCAAGAGGTGGGGCTGGAAATAGCAGCAGTTTAAGCAAAATATGCCGTGTGTTGCCCCCTTACACCAAGGAAAGACATCAGCAGGCACTCAGTGTTGGCGTTTCCCAGCCTCTGTCCTCTCCATCACTGCCAATTCTTGGTGCTTGGTTTCCAGTCTCCTGGCAACCTCATGGCACAAAATGGTGGTGGAGCCAACATTCCAGGCAATCAGACAGAAAAGAGCTAGAGGATAAACCAATGATGCCCCTGGTCCCTCTTATCCTTTTAAGCAACTCTCCCAGATTCACCAGGGAGTTCACCTTCCTGCCAGATGCTGCCCCTAGCTGTGAAGGAAGGAGGAGAAACACCACCCACTGTGCCCCACGATGAGGACATGGCTGAGAAAGAGGCTCCAAGCCGCCGTTACCTGCTTCCCAAAATCATGTGAGCCAATTGCTTAAAAGACATCCTGTTGGTTGTTTCTCTGGAGAGCCCTGTCTTAGTCCATCCAGGCTACTATAACCAACTAGAGGCCCAGCACACGATTAAAACATGCGCGTGTAGGGTCCCCTAGGCCTAGCCTGCCATCAGGGCCATGTCCACCGCCCTGCAATGCCTCGCACACTCCACAGACGCTGCCGGCGCCTGAGTGGGGGATGGGGGATGGAGGATGGGGTGAGGAGGGGGCAAGAGGTGCTCCATGCACCTCATGGTGACTGGTTGTTTGGTCATTTCAGTCGTGATGCCTCTTGGCCTTTTATTATTATGATACCACAGACTAGTGGATTATAAACAACAGACATTTATTGCTCAGAATCCTAGAGGCTGGTTGTCTGAAATCGGGATGTGCCAGTGTGGGGGTTCTGGTCAGAGCCTCTATCTTGCTTTCAAACAATGATACACCTTCTGCAGGTTTGTTTCTGGGTATTTGTCCTGGTAACCTTCAGTGGCAGTGTAAGAGGTTTGGTGACCTGAGGCTACCACATGGAGAGGCATTTAGAGGGAGAGAGGCCCAAGGAGCCCAGGTGTAGGTCTTTCCTCTAAGATGCCAGGTATGAAATGAAAGGGCCTTTGAGGTGATCTGGCCACAATCACTATCTGATGGCCACTTTATGGAAGACCCCAACAAGAACCACCCTGCTGAGCCCAGCCAACCCCAGACGCATGAACCAAGTGCGAGTTAAGAGGTTGGAAGGGTTCGTTGCATGCACAGTGCTATGGAATTGAATGTGTGCATCTCCCAAATTCCCATGTGGAAGCCCTAACCTCCAATGGGAGGTGACTCCGTTTACATGAGGTGATGAGGTGTGGGTCCTGGTCTGGTATGGTTAGGGCCCCTGTCCAGAGGGACACCAGAGCACATGTTCTTTCCTATGTGAGGACATAGCCAGACAGGAGCTGTCTGCCAGCCCAGGTCAGGCCTCACCAGAAACCAAACCCACTGCACTTTGCTCTGAATGTCCAGCTTCCAGATCTGTGAAAAATAAATGTGTGTTGTTTAAGCCCTCTCTGTGGTGTTTTGATATAGCCGCCCAGGCTAAGAAGCACAGACAGGTCATCCTGAGCCCGCTGAGTAAATTCAGAACGTCCTTGCGGTGTAGACTGCATACTGCCCTCATCAGATTCTGATCTGAGCCTCATGCCACTTCTGTACACAGACCAGCCCTGGATGGTCAGCAAATGAGTCCATCTCCACACACTTGAACTTGACAAAGCACCCACATCCTGCCCTCCCTCCAAGGCCTCACTCACGCCTGTACCCCTAGACCCATCTCCTGGCTAACTGGTTTTCTCCC